AGATCCTGGAGATTTTTCTTGTACTACTTTCTTTTATCGGTCCTGTATCTCCGAAACCAACCATAGGATCTTTTTGGGCCTACGAGAACTTACGTTCAGGAGATCGAGAAGCATAGCATATTTCAATTTCATGACAATCGTGAAATTTATTTTTTCTCATAAGATCCGTGCGTGGTCCTTTGTCAATTTTCACTTGGATAAGTGCAGTCACGGATTTTTCGTCCTGCCCAAGGTGCCTGAACGGCTGATAGTAACCTCACTTTCCAAAATCTTCACAAAAATCAACAATCGGTTGATTTTCCAAGAAACTTTCTAGCAGACACGAACAATCACTCTTCTGGCTAGGCAATTTACAAAACTATGGGCTCGATGGCCAAAAATAAAGACAAAATTTTAAGATTTGTTAAAGATTAAAAATTTGGACAACCGTTTCGGTCCCAAGACAAAAGAGAAAAGCCAACTCAAAAGTACCCAAATTGGTTCTGTCCTTTCTATTCTGACTTCATCTTAGTTCTGTTGGTGTTTGTTTTGTATGAAATAAAACATCATAGTTTTTGGCGCCCAACGTGGGGCCTCTCTTGTTTCAACTGCTTGGGTTCTTCTATAGGCCATTTATTGTTATTTGATAGAGGATTCCTGTGCCCCACTACCTTGATCTTCCATTTGTGTTGACTATAGTTAGGAAAACGTTTTTTTTTTTTAAATGCTAGTTGGTGTAGAACGTGATATCCATAGGAATAGTTGTGAATATTTAGTTCTTGAGTGATTTAGTGAAACTACAAGATACATATATTAGTTTATTTTATATACAGTGTTATTGCATTGGTGTCGCCATGTCAAGAAAGATAGAAATCAACCGGCTGGACAAGAATGAGCTTGAGTATGATTTGAGATGGAGAGGTATAGGTATAAGTACAGTGGAGGAAATGAGAAGTCACTTTACTTTAGCAGGACAAATGGAAAGGCAGAATGAAAGTTTACACTATCCCCCATACCCTTTTTCATACCAAACCGACGTAGAGGCAGTGGTAGTGGCAAGGAAGTTGGTCATTGATGGTTTTTTAGACACGAAGAAAAGTGGATAGTTTCTTAAACTGCAGTCTAAGTTGAGTCACATCTTTGGGAGAGTAGATAATATTCCTTGTAACACACCAGATGAAATACACGTACGGAGTATACTTGTGGCTCAAATTTTAACTATGATTGATCAGCTTAATACTAAAGCTGCAGCAGCTGACGCAAGCACTCTACCTACTCCTCCTAACTTGGCCGCTCTCCAGGATGGTTTGGCCCAACTATCTTTTAATCCTCCTGCCACTATACAGCCATCTAAATTACCCAGCTCAACTTATGCTGTGCCACCTCAATCGCCTATTATAGCTAGTACACCAACTACGTCACGATCTTCCTTTGGAATACAACCTATTATGCTTCACAAGTGGAATATTAAGTTTAGCAGTGATAAACGCGTTCTTTGAAAGAGTCGAAGAGTTGCGACGTGCCAGAAATGTGACAAAGGACATTTTGTTAGAATCCGGCATTGATTTGTTCGACGGCTGAGCCTATGAATTCTACCAGGATTGTAGAACTGAAGTTCAGAGTTGGGACGAACTATTTAGTTTCAAAGTTCAAAGAAGAGTATCAACCAGCTTTCTATTGAGAGCGACTTTGGGAGGAGATCAGACGTAGCAATCAAGGCCCAGATGAAACGATTGGCACATATATGGCAGTGATGGCAAGGTACTTCCAACACTTGCAATTTGCATCATATGGCTTCGCACCCAAAACCATTCAAGCCTTGGGAGATGATTTCCACGAATATCATGAGACCATTGTCCAGATCTACAAAGGGAAACGCCTATATCTTAGTTGTCACGGATTGTTTCAGCAAGTTTTCTTTGGTATTTCCACTCCGGAACTTCAGCAACCATTATCAGGCGAATAGAAGAGGAGGTGTTTTTTGTTTTTGGTATTCCTCGGCTATTATTGTGTGATTCATTTCAGATCTTGAACGTATTACATAGTGATTGTTGAGTTTTTAATGTGTATTTTCCTTAGTTGTTGATTGTTCTTATAGGTACTTAGGTTAATTAATTGGAAAACACTTTTAGAGTCCTGAGGATAATCTCATAGAGATCGAAACGTCGACAAAATACATACACTGAAGATTGAATAAGATAAAATGTAAAGTTGCAGTTACAGGGCCCAGTAACAGGGTGGATAATTTAAAGGTTGTATATTGTGAAATAGTAGTTTTTAAAAATCCCATACACACAACTTCAGATTTAACCTCCTACGCCAATGGAATACGGCGAAGACCACTTGAATTTTACAGTTCGATAATGATTTATTACTCTTTCGCATTGAAAAAACAGAGTATATCTTGATGTAAGTATTTCCAAAACTGTTCAATAGGTACCAAAGTTAATTTGATTCAAAATTGAACTTATTAAAATTTACAAAGCCTTCCAGCGAAACCTATTTTAATTTCAACGCCTACAAAACGAACGACTTTACTACTTAATAAGTAAACAAATTCGAGCTAAAATGTGGCTGCAGTAATATGCAATGATTATAAAACTTGGACCCGGCTTGGAAGCCGAATGCACAAGAATTATGAAGAGAAACAGAGATAACTGAAAAGGGAGAGTTTTCGATGGGACACGGTTATTTTTATATAATCGTACGAAAAAGGCTTCATTGATCAATCTTCTACTTCAACACTCCCCATCTCTTTTCTGTTCTTCTACCTACAGTAAAATATAAGGGACCAAAATAATCTATGCCGGTATATGTAAATGATTTAATGTCCAGAGTCAGTCTAGGTAGCTGTCCCATCTTCTGTATAATTGGTCTAATTTTCTTGGTTTTACACCACTGACACTCTTGACTGAAGCTCTGAGATGTATTATCCAAAAACGTTGTTTGATTTCATTTACCACAATCTCTAAACCCTGATGTGTAAACTGTTCATGATACTTTTGGATAAGTAACATTGTATATCTGTGTTTCGATGGTAAGATAATTGGACTTCTTGTCAGTGTCACAGTATCTTGTGTCAAGTTTAATCTCCCATCTACCACAAGAATACCTGTTTCATCAAGTTTCGGTGAGAGCTTCCATATCCTACTTTGTTTTGACACTAGTTTTTCCTTCTTCAAACAGTATATTTCTTCTGCAAAACTTCCTAATTGACACCATCTTGTTTCAGCTTCTTTTAAATCTTGTACTGTATACTGATAAATTTGAAAACTCTTGCTGTTGCAACTAATAAATAAAGCCATTTTGAAAAATGTTAGACAGGTTAGTTTGGATAAGCTCTGTTTGGCATAACCTACTTTTTTTTGCTTTTTTCTTAGAATTTTTATTTTTTTTTGAGGACTATTACGAGGACAGATTAGTTTGGATTAGCTCTAATTTTGTTTAAAATACCAACATACAAAGACTAGCCCTTATCACGAATTACGGTGAAGCTCCGTCTGTCTGTTCCCCAGACTCTCGTGTTTAACGATAGCTGTGGAGTGTGGTCAAATTTTCAGGGTGTTTGTTTTTTTTTCCCTTGGGTTTTGCCATAATTCATATCAGTATGCCAAATTTCAGCCTTCTAGCATGTTTGGAAGTAGGTACCTTAGATCTATACATGAGTGAGTGACAAAATTGGCGTTTTTTAAGGCAATGTAACTTTTTTGTTGGTTGATGAAAATCGATGAAATTTAATTTTAGTATTAGGTCTATAAAGATCTACGACTGTGCAAAATTTCAATTTTCTAGGACACTTCAGAGCTGAGTTACAGGTAGGTCGAAAATGACCTGAAATGTTTCGAGAAAAGGTATACAGTAGTGCGCAAACTTGGCGGGGGGCACTACCGTGCCCCCAGATAAGACTGTCCATTTCATTTTCTCTTATTTGAGGAAAACTATTTATTCTATATAGCCTAATCTCAATAATGTGTTCTGGTCTGCCAAATCTTAACTCTAATGTCATAATGACTTACTCTAAATTTTTAGGACTTAGCATTCCTGCTACTGCGTTTCTTGCCTCCCCCCTTAAACATTTTTGAAGTTCGATTTCTCTAAGGTGAACTCACATAGTGCTGAAATTCTCCTGAACGAGTAAATAAAAGTAGGCCAATCTTCTTGTCGTCTGTCGAAAAATGGAAAGTTCTTTTCCATTGTGTGTCTTCTTCCAGGATACTTATATTCATTTCTGCATTAGTTTCTTCGCATATTGTGGACCTTCAATAAAAATTTGTTGATAGTGTCACGTAACTGGTTTACTTCTGTTCTATCTTTTTTGACATCACTATCATCAGATACAGAAATGTTAAGATTTTCTACCCAATTCTCTACAAAATCTTTTTTAAATGAGCCTTCAGAACTTTCTTGAATTGAAAAAATAGCATTTGTAACTCCTGATGGTCACTACGAATATTTAAGGATGCCGTTCGGATTAGTAAATGCTCCAGCGGTGTTTCAAAGGATGATTAACCAGGTCCTAGGCTCCATGAGATTTTCTACTGCCTTAGCATACCTGGATGACTGGTTCCTTCTCCTAGTGTTGCGTCTGGGTTGGTTTCTCTTGGGGATGTATTTGAAACCTTCCGAAATGGAAGTATCGCTTTGTGACTGTCAAAATGTAATTTCTTTAAGGAGCAAATTGATTATTTAGGACATGAGATTAGTGCTGTCGGTATCCGACCCGGTACTTCGAAGATTTCTGCAGTCGAGAAATTTCCTGTTCTAAGAAATGTGCATCAGATTCGACAATTTTGAATGTAGCTATTTCAAGAAATATGTGAGAGATTTTATACAAATTACCTGCCTTTTGACTGGGGTATAGAGCAGGATGGTGCTTTTGCGAAACTTTGAGGAGTTTTGATCAAGAGACCTATACTTGGCCTATTAGACTATCCAAGATGCTGTCAAATCTAAATTAAAATGTCTGCCAAGAGACACACAAACCCTTTGTTTGCTTGTCAAAGTCACGTCTTTTGGATAGGCTAATATGACCCTGCATATGCGATTACATAACCAATCTTTTTTGAGTTTGTAGGTGCTGGTGAAAATACAATTTTATGTGAGCACTTTGAACTTTGACTAATTTCACAATTTTCTACTGACCTTGTCTCACTGTCTAAGACTTCTGCTTGTTGTATAGCAGTTTCTAATTCTATTACCTTTTGTTCCTGTGCACACTTTCTTCTTCCTCTTTCCATTTCAAACTCTAACTTTTTCTTTTTTATTTCGAACATTCTGTTTTCCAGATTATTTTTCTTTTTCTCAGCCTCTAATTCAATCATCTTCCTTCTAATATGTTGACAAATGTGATATAATACTTGTCTTCTTTGGCTTTTTCTTGCAGATTTTTGACCAAAACCTGTGTACCATTCGAACTGAGGATCAAGGTATTTTATACCTGGAGTTTCACGTTTTTTTCTACCTGTCTCATTGGTTTTCTCCATAAGAGATTTTTTTGCGAGTTTCACTGATATCTTTTTCTATAGGACAAGTTCGGCGGCTCGAAGGACCAATGTTAAATTCTTAGTTCTGTCTGGCTTCTAGACTCGTACAAATCTAACACAAATTGGAGTCTTCTTGACAATTTTTTAACGTTTATTGACAACTCTACTATAATGACATTTTTACAATTATAAATTATAACCGGTGACAAAAACAAAAGGTTGAACCAGAAAATAAGGCTGTGCTCAAACAACTATGGAATCTCTGTATTGTAGATACAAGATGATGCTTATGAAAGCGCTTTTTTTTTCATGTGAACTGGCATAAACTTTTCAGTCTGGGCTGCTGTGACTCTAGTTCAAATTCCATTTCTACGAAGGATTACCTCCACCCTCCCAAAAGTACCCAAAAGTCAATATCATTTCTCATTGGTTGTTGACTGTTGTCAATGCCGCCATTTTGTATTAAACTCGATGATTCGCCGTATCGTCTACTTTAATGGTCAAAAATCCAAGTTTACACTGTCTAGCTCAATTTTTGACTTTATAGGAGCGCCGAGAATAGAATTTTTATGCCAAAATTTCAGCTCTAGTAACAAAGAATGAGATTTTCACAATTTTGAATTCGAGGTTCAAATTTTTCTAGCTCAACTTTAACTCTTTAACAAGCTTCATTTAACTCAATTATTAAATGATTTATAATATTCTAAGAACTGAATTATTTTATAAAAATGTATCCTGCTAACGTTAAAAATAACGTATCCAAATCGAAATTTCACTCACTTTCTTTCTCTCTCGCTCTCTTCGAGTTTAAAGCAAACCTGAAACCAATTTTGTTAGTTTGGAGATAAATGAACTGTCGCTCGTTTCTGTTTAGCTCATTGATGTGCGCCTTTTCTGTACCTTTCCATTCCCCTTGCTAGAATATTTATGCAAAACGACAAGAGATTTAAAAATTGGGCTTCTGTAGAAAAATATTAAGGCTTTGTGACAAATTAACATTTTAGTTTTAATCGACTCTGAAATTTAGAAGGAAGTTTCTTTGTGAGAAAAGCTTATTTTAGACCTAGTTTCCTATTACTGGCTCTCCTAGAACTAGGAAAGCTCAAAACTCTTAATAACTGGACCCAAAATAAAACAAGAGGAATAAACTGTGATTTCTGATCATCCCGGTTTGAAATTCAATAAGAAAGGATTGAAAACTTCAGAACGGGTTCTCATTGAACTGAGATAACTAAAAATCTTACTGCTGCTCTTACTGGAGATGTTATCAAGTTTTACTCCAATTTCTGACTGTTCTAGAGTTAAATTCAATTCAAGTTTTCATTATTAGAGATAATTAACCTTATTACAAAAACCTAAACTTATTAAAATCCTGATGTGCATTTTAATGAAAAATAAACATAAAAATCAAAAATAATTATTTCCGCAATGACTCTCTATACCTCGTTTCCCTCTATCGAAAAAGGAAAAGAAGAAAACTTTCGGCTTTGGTTGAGGCCTTTCCGTGACTCGCATGGAAAATGCTTGTACCTATATGCGAAATTCGATTTAGCAATTTTAATAAAAAGCATGAAGCCATTCGATTTCGCGTTGCAAAAAGATCATATTCGAAGGGAGATTGGGTCCGTTCCTGTTTCACTCTGTTATCGATTTTATATTTACTCGTTTTCCCCGTAGGTATTTATTATGACTATTTAAATATTAACGTTTTGCTAATTAATACAATTTGATTTTTCTTTATAATTACTTTGATATTATTCCCCCTCTGCTGCTTTCAGGGTTGGAAATCTAATTCCTTTGTCTATTCCTCCATTGCCATTTTCTTCCGACATATTGAATTTAATTTAACTTCAGGAAAATATAAAATATTAAACTTGTGAGAATTCTCTGCTTGTGTGTCCATCGAACTGTGAACAATTTAATTTTAGAGTTTGAGTACCTATACCTCTTTCAGAAATAAGATCACATAAACATAAGAAGTGTTGCCAGAGGTGGTACAATTGCACCAGGTTTGGTATTCGTTTTGAAAAAGTACGTTGGTATATTTGGTACAATTTTCAATTTGGTTTTTCCAAATTTTCAAAGAGTCAATTGTCTGCCTACTTAGTCTAATGTCGATGTTCTAATTAACTCGTATTTCTGTATCCAAATTCGATACAACAATAATTTTTGATTTGTAAATAGATGGCGTCACCAATGCAACACTCGTTTTGTGGTTTTTGATTGACGTAGTTTGTGTTTAGTTTAGGTTTTCGGCAGAAAATAAAGAAAACTGAAAGCCTTATATTTCAAATCGGTTTTCCTGATTGGAAAAGCCGGAAATCCAAAGAAAAACCATTGAAAAATGACATTCCAAAGTCTACTTGATCCTGTAATCCTGTAATGTTCCAATAGCAGGCGGTAAAACCGATGAAGCTATCGTTTTGTCTGTAGAGATATTGTTCACATTGTTTTATGCACTATAATAATGTATCATTCTTGCTGCACTATTTTTTAGCTCTTTGTCTAATCGGTTTTTCAACGCCTTTATGGTAGGAGCCGTTACTGTGTTTTCCGATAAAGCATTCCACGAGTAAACAATCCGATTAGTAAGGTAATTTTTACGTTGTAGTTTTGCAGCTTTTTCTTTGTCTAGTTTTTTGGAATCTCCTCGAAGGTGCTGATTTTGATGGAAGATATTTTCAATGGCACAGTTATAATATCCACTTGTAATCTTAAAAGTTTTTATCAAGTCCCCTCTATGCCTTCTTTCTTTTAGAGTTGTTATCTAAAATCTTGTTAACCTTTCAGAGCATGGTAGATTTTGCAGTTCTGGTGGTATCTTTGTTACTCTCCTTTGAATTTTTACCAGCATCTCAATATCCTTGATCTCTAAATGCATGTTTAATAAGATAGACAAAAGAGTTCGCTTTTTTGGCTATTTTCACAATGTGGCTTTCCCATTTGAGGTCTGATGTGACAATGACTCCAAGATCGTTTTGCTCTGCCACAGTCGACAGAATAGTGTTATTTAAAGAGTAGTCCTGGTTTGGGTTATTTGGGCCAATTCTTAGTACCGTGCATTTTGACTCATTCAGCTTCATTTCCCACAATCTAGACCACTCTTCAACTTTTCTTAAGTCTTCTTGCACTGAGTATTGGGTTTGCATAGAGTTTGCCATCATCAGCAAAATTTTTCATTTTTGTATCTATGTGGTTAACAAGATCAAAGAGATAGGAAGTAAAGAGCAGCGGTCCAAGCACTGAGCCCTGCACAACTCCGCTACTAACTAAATATTTGCTTGACAATTCTCCATTTACTCTTACTTGGTAGTATCGTTCATCCAGTAGATCAGCTATCAAAGACAAAAGCCGCCCTCGCACTCCATAATGTTCCAACTTTCCAAGCAACATGTGGGACATTGTCAAAGGCCTTCTCATAATCCAAGTAAATTATATCTGTCGGCTGGGAGTTACCGTCCAATCATTCAGACATTCTAATAGGTTTGTTGAGGTTGAACGTTTTGAGAGAAACCCATGTTGAGACAATGGTATTAAGTTATTTTCAAAAAAGAAATTTGTTACTTCTTTTACCATTATTTTCTCCATACATTTCAATGGGTTACAGGTTAGGCTAATTGGACGGTAGTTTTCCGGCTGATGTCTGTTGCCTTTCTTAAAAAGTGCAGTAATAATTGACAGCTTCCACTGCTCTGGTACTCTTCCTAGCTCCATAGACTCCTGCATAGCATCCGCGAGTCGTGAACCAACTGAATCACTGCAGTTCTGTAGCAATATTGTTGGAAAACCATCTGGACTTGCGTCTTTTTTCATGTTTTTAAAGTTTCTTTGACCTTTTCTTCTGTGAACTGCACAGTGCTAATCGCGTTCTGTACTCTGGTACTCACAGGAAGTTGGGGAAGGGGACGATTTTGACGTGGGTGAAGGATTTGTTAAATTGTTCAGCAAATTTTTCTGCCATGGATTTAGAGACTAAGATATCTTGCGTAATAGGGTCCTTGAGTGTAATTGTAGTCACCTTACAGTTTAGGTTTCTGCTTATATACTTGTATATTCTTTTAGGTGAATCTGATTTTACTAGATCATGTTCATATGTTTTTCTAGCCTCTTCGAGCTTTTGTTTAAGAGCATTGTTTTGTAACATGTAGGCCTGGTAGTTCTCTTCTGTTCTGTTTTTTTCTGTATTCGTCCCACAATTTACGCTTTCTATCAATTTCTTTAAATAGATTTTGGGTTATCCATGGCTTTTCTGGTTCATTTTTGTAGACCTCAATGGAATATGCATCCTAACTGCTTCATTCAAAACTGTCTCAAAGTTTTCGAAGTTATTTTGCTCTCTGATGGGTTGTTGTCTGATAAAGTTGTTTATTTTATCATATTTGGCAGTATGAAAGTTTCTTTTCAACACTTTTTTTGTTGTTTTGGGTGGGAGTTTTAATTGTGTTCTTGCGGTGATTATGACATGATCACTACGCCCTATAGGTACTTCAGATTTAAGGTCAAATACACTTTTAGGATCACTGCATAAAAACAAATACAACAATGAGCTCTGATCGTTCCTATATCGTGTTGCAAATTTGATAAGTTGATGAATGTTGCTATCACAATACATGTCTACAAAATCTTATGTTTTTTTGTCGGCTGGGGCTACAGTTAACTTTTTCCAGTTTATGTTTGGGTATAGTTGAAATCGAAAACGAATGTTGGAATTTTTGTGGTAAATGCATTGCATATTGTATTTGTCAGCTGGGTATTGGCTTGCTCAGTAGTGGTGTTTCCAGGTCTGTAGATACAGGCAACTATAATTTTTAACTTGTCTATGCGTACATCTAGCCATGCAGCATCAACAGGTGCATCTGTCGGGTGGTTTTGAGCAAAGGTGCAACTTAGGTTATGCCCATCTATTTGATTTTTAACAAAAATACATGCTCCGCCCCCTTTTTGATTTGGTCGATCTCCTCGAAAAATGCTGTAGCCATCTAGACATATTATTCTGTCAT